GGAGAAAAACGAGGTCCAGAGGCAGAGATCAGGCAGGGTGAATCGCTGGAGAATTTACTGGCAGGGCTGTAAATAGTCTGGCAGGGAACTGGTGGCAGACTGGTGAATATATAGCAGGTGTGAGTGATGAGCTGAGGAGTCAGGAGCAGGTGAAGTGGATGAAGCTGATTACAGGAACAGGTGAGATGAATGGAGTTGATGGTGGTTGCCAGGGAAACAGGGCTTGTCAGGAGCTTGGTGAGGGGACCAGGTGAGCTGAATGAAGGCTGAAAAATGAGAGTCATGACACATTCAGGTTTATTTATTTAGAGATTATTTAGAGATTCATAGTCGTCGTCTTCCTCCACTTATCTGCGTCCGGGTCGCGGGGGCAGTATCCCAACTAGAGAGATCTAGACCGTCCTCTCCCCAGCCACCTCCACCAGCTCCTCCGGCAGGACCCTAAGGCGTTCCCAGACCAGATTGGAGATGTAACCTCTCCAACGTGTCCTGGGTCGACCTGGGGGTCTCCTGCCGGCAGCACATGCCCGAAACACCTCCCCACGGAGGTGTCCAGGAGGCATCCTGACCAGATGCCCAAACCACCTCAACTGACTCATTTCGATCCGGAGGAGCAGCGGTTCTACTCCGAGTCCCTCCCGAATGTCCGAGCTCCTCACCCTATCTCTAAGGCTGAGCCCGGCCACCCTACGGAGGAAACTCATTTTGGCCGCTTGTATCCGCGATCTCGTTCTTTCGGTCATTACCCAAAGCTCATGACCATAGGTGAGGATTGGGACGTAGATCGACCGGTAAATCGAGAGCCTGTCTGGCTTTCTGGCTCAGCTCCCTCTTCACCACGACAGACTGGCTCAGCGTCCGCATCACTGCAGATGCTGAACCAATCCGCCTGTCGATCTCCCGATCCCTCCTACTTTCACTTGTGAACAAGACCCCGAGATACTTAAACTCCTCCACTTGAGGTAGGACCTCTCTCCCGATCCGGAGTTGGCAAGCCACCCTTTTCTGGCCGAGAACCATGGTCTCAGATTTGGAGGTGCTGATCGTCATCCCAGCCACTTCACACTCAGCTGCGAACCTACCCAGCAAGAGCTGAAGGTCAGAAGATCTTTCATAGACGTAAAAACAAAGAGTCGGAGTACCTGTCCCGGAGGGTTACCAGGGTCCCACCCTGGAGCCAGGCCTGGGGTTGGGGCCCGTGAGCAAGGCTATGCCTCCAGGGTCTATGCCTGCAGTGTGCCGGTCCACTCCTGCAGTGTCTACACCTGCAGGGACTACGCCTGCAGTGTCCACGCCTGCAGGGTCTACACCACAGATTCACCAGAAAGCCAGAAAAACAACCAAAACCAGTGATAACCCTCCCATCAATGACATGCTTGACAATTTTGGACGGTAAAATCTGACGGAAGACCGGAAAATGGGCATTTTGGGCACTTCGGACAAAAGGCGCAGGTGCTCAATCCCCCCCCCCCCCCCCCCGTACATGCCTGTTCCCAGCCATAGTCATGAGTGATGCAAGGCAAAGAACGTAGCATGACAAAGTTAGTGATATAAACTGCAGGAAGAGACAAGGGGGCGTGCCCTTAATTAGCAGACAGTTCAGCGTTCTACCACTGCTGAACATCATTGGCCCGTTGTAGTTGTACAGCCAGCAGGTGATTGGTTACCAACGCTGACTGACGGCACCTTCCGCTAATCAGGAGAGGAAATGATCTCCCACTACACTTTCAAATCAGTTTCAATGGTTCTTCAGCCAGAAACTTTAGCAATGTCACATTGGACTTCACTCTGTAGCCCTCTGCTGAGCAGAAACTGTGCTTACCCGCTTTAAGTTTGTTCTGTGTTTGTTTATTTAGATCCCCATTAGTTACTGACATACAGTCGCTATTCTTCCTGGGGTCTCATCTTACACAATCATTAAATTTTATATACATACACATACTGTGCACGTCATTCGTACGTATCCACACACACACACACACCCACACACACACAAACAAATTTCTACTTAAAATTGCGGTGTAGAGAAATCACATTTCAATTCTGAAAAGCCCAAACATACCAAAGCACATTAGCTTACCTCAAAAGACGTTTAGCTTGACATTATCTTTGGGAAAATAAAAGTATTGGGAGTTTTTTCTGAAAATTTTTTTTGTTACTTTCCATCAACAGAAATCCTGGTAGCGCTAACTGTCTATCGAAAGCGACTTGAACCGCAAGCACGTGATTGGTCAGGATGCTGTTTCCTTTAACTTTGTCAATAGCACCGCTATTCCCCTCAAAAGTATAAAACAAGAGCTGAAGATATCTACTGACAAATACGAAGCAGATTGACAAATGTCTCATGTAAAAAGTCAGATGACATAAACATTAATACACACGTGACTGAATGAGTACAAAGACACGCAACAAATGTTTTATCCATGTCAGGAAATTGCGGGAAACGTGGGTTTGGAGGTGGCGACTGCATGAAGGGGGTGAAGGAGAACGAGGGACAATTTTTCTGTGTTAAGTTTCTGAAATACATTAACACATTGTTAACACACAGTGGTAAACATACCAGAGATGTGGCTGCAGTGATGGCAGGATACCCCAGAAACAGTCACGCCCCCTGCTGTCCTGGCAGAGAATTGCTTCACAACCCTCACACACCAACGGAAAAGTATAAGGAAAACCTCAACGTCAATATGCAAACGAGTGCAAATTTCTGACAGAGAAATATGAACTTGGCTTATGAGAGTATTGTCGTTGGAGGTGAAGCAAAAAGCAAATGCCAGAGTGACCATCTGTGGAGCCTACAGTCATTTGAGGGAGCTAAAGGAGGCTACAAAATCACAGATTGATGGTGACCTGGCTTTGTTGCTGCTGGACTTGTAAGTAATAATAGCAGTCAGATCTGTTCCCTTTGTGGCTTATTTGGTATCAGTTAGCTCATTGTTAGCGCTAGCTACAGCAGGCGGCAGCAGGGTTGTTTACGACAGTTGTAATTCCACTTTCAGCCAGTAGGAGGAAGAAGTGGGAAACTTGTTTAGTGTTGCTTTATGTCTACTGAGTTATTCCACTAAATTATGTTGAAATTAAATATGTAGTCTTTACATTTAAGCAGCTCAGTGTAAATTTTAGTGTCAACATTTTATGTGTTGTATTGGAATAAAGATTTTCTCTTGACTGAAAGCAGAAACGGGACTTCTGGGATGGAAATGGTTACAGTGCACTCTAAACTCTCATCTCCTCACTCACTGCCTCTGATGAGTAAGACGTGAATCCCAGACACAAACCTTAAATGCTCACTGGCACAAAGAGAGAACCGTTTGTGTCAGAGCATGGCCGTTTCTGTTCTGGATCCAAACCAGGAACAAGCAGCTGTGTGTGGACAACGTTATGAGGATTAGATGGAGAACCCATGACAAGACAGTTCCACTTGAGAAAAATCCAGGAGGATTAGCGTCAGGTCCGAGCTTTTTTTTTTTTTTGTTTGTTTTTTTTTTGGCTTGCAGGTCTGATTTATGAACCTTTATATGGTTGGATAACAGGAAAGGTTTTTCCTGAAAAACATGGCTCCAGCATTGTGTGTGTGGGGTTGTGCTTTACTGAAATAAGGCACACCTTTCCTGTCTCGGCTCTCATCTTTAGAGTTGTGTCTCTGAATGTCAAACTCCCTCAGGGACTGATGCACATCTACACTCGAAGACCCCCATCTTCTGTAATGGACTATTCATTTCTGAGTACTTCCTGCTTTGGCACACACACAAGTTTCACCTCAGCTGCACTACAGGACAAAGTGAAGGAGCGAGTCACTGCAAAACTTGTGCCACCACAAAAAGGTTTTCAGGCTCTGAATCTAATAAATCCTCCAAAATGCTCAGAGACAACAAGATAAGCTGTATTTCTGTGTAATTGTTGCTGCCTTGACGTAAATTCTCCTTTTTAGGGGTTCAAGCTGGGGTCACAAAGTGACAACAATGCAGGAAGTTTAGCTTTGTCAAAATGTCACATGATGTATCAGGATAGGGACCACAGTTAGTGGGCTCTTTGTTTAGGCTTATCGGGCTGCAGCAGTAACTTCAGATGGGCTGCAAGGGAGGGTGTGTGTGTGTGTGTGTGTGTGTGCAGCACAGCCACAGGATGTTTAAAGGGGCACTGAGGCAATAAATGGTCGGGAAGGTTTGGTCACACGGTGCGGCGGTGATTCAGTGCCCTTTCTGTGGGAGAAAGCGGTCCAGTTGCAGGACTCAGCTTGAGCCTTTCTGACCAAACTCCGTGTTAGCTCTCTCAGCTGCTTTATAGAAACCAGACTGATTGCACACTGTAAATTTCACTCCGTTCTGTGTAGCATATTTATTTACAACAAGATGAAACAGTGGTGTTTCTGTAAAAGATAAAAAAAACAAACTATCATGCAGTCTGGTCTGAGGAATCCCAAGTGACAGACATGTTTAACTCAAATAAATGTAAGGTCCAGGGAGGGAAGAACGTTGCTTTGATTGTGCACTTGTGCACACGCGTGGTCAGGATAAAGCAAGCGACTGTGTGGCACCTCAGCCCAGTCCGATCTGCCACGCTTCTCCCTTAATGGCAATTTATTGCTTCCTGGATTGTGAATACGGGAGGCCGAGGACAAGAGCATTCCAACTGCTGTTTTCAAGCTCCTTCCCTGTCCAAACCCCCGCCTTCACCCCCTCCCCGCCCGAGTCCTGAACAGTCTCTAAATCTCTGCCGCCTTTCAGACCTGCTCCCCCCTCCTGGCATGGCGTTTGTTCTGAGCCTTCAGGAACCTGATTCACGAGTCCTTCAAGTGACTTATGTCTGAGAAAACTTCCAAGGATGGTAGAAAAGCGTAAAGACTCACCGTGCACCGCCGTACAAACGACTCCGACACTCTAGATATGAGAATTACAGAGCAGGAAAAACACTTAGAGTTTATAAAAGTTTAAGAAAACAACAAAAAAAAAACATTTTTCCTTACAGAATATTTTAATAACACAAGAACATCCACAGCATTGACAGAATAGGTTTTTGTTTCATTATATATTTCTTATAAACATATGTACACTCCCGCAGACAGTAAAATGAATTCATGTCACTTATAAACAATGCAGTTGAAATCATGGTCATTTGGTTTTAATCCTTCATGATGGTGTAGTGCATTTGAAATCAGATGTATATCTGATGTTCTGTACAGAATGCATATTTTGTCTTAACAAGCCAAACGCCATCTTAAAATCAGAGGAAAACTGTGGACTTTGTGTTTTTTTAACGTTTGCTGACAAGGAGCTCAAAATGAATCATCAGCAACCAGATTCCTGCCCGCTTTGGCCGAACTCAGGTGGTTTCTGTCGTGTTTTTAAACCATAAGTCACTGAATTAAGCCTCTCCTGCATCTGAAAGCCCGTCTCAGGCCGGCTACAACATGGAAGAGCTTTCAACACCTCTGCTTCATGTTGCCACCATACACGCTAAAATCATCTGTACTTATATTAAATTCTCCATCGGTCCTCTACGCTACATAGATTTGCTTTTCTTTCATTTGGTTTTACGTGCTTGCAGCATTTGACTTTGCAGACCGTTCCCTTTCCTTCACAAGTGCAAATAGTTTTCCTTCCAGGAGGAAATTAGAGGAAGACAGCATTGAAGCAGTCAGCTGAACTTTGCTGGTTACACTTAATCTGAGGAAAAACATGGTGGCCAGTAAACCGTTAAACCACAGCAGCAGCTGCATGAAGAGTCCTCAGCCGCTCTGACCACTGCTTTTCCTGTCCCTGAACTCATGCCACATGAAAGCTTTTCATTCAGAGTTTGATTTTCTGTGATGGTTTTTTTTTTAACTGCTCAGCTCTCGACTCCACCGTGTTTTCCACTGCCTGTGACTGCATATTGCACTGAAGCGGATGTCCGTTTCACTCCTCAGTCCTTTAGAAAGATCCACTGGAGACTCTATGGACTCACTTGGCCTCTTCCTGAACTGAGATGTGTTTCAGCACCATTTCTAAATAACTCTGCATCATTGATCGTTCTGCTGCAGCGTTTCAGTCTACAGGCAGTTCACAGGGAATCTGCCGGGCCGCTTTGGCCTCGGCGTAAGTCCTCTGGAAGTCCTTGTAGCGTGGAGCGCAGCCCAGCCAGGCCTCGCCGAAGTGGACCCTGCCGGTGAAAAGGAAGCTTCCGGGTCCCGGTTTGACGCCACACTGAAGCAGAGTCCGAATTTCACCCCGGCTGGCCAGGCGGCTGCTGCCTGTGAACAGGGCGTACTTCTGACGGAACACACGGGTGGCGCTGACCATGATCACTGCCGCCCGTAAATTCTCGTCTTCCTCCACCGTGCGGATGTTACCTCGAACCACTAAAGAGAAACAGGACGGTCGGGTCAGTTTCCACTGTACATTTTACATCATTTCATTACTAAAAAGTTGCTCTAAGTGCAGCACTTCTGTTTCTGCCTTCATTTGAATGTTTAGATGGAAAACCCCGACCCGCCCACTGATCCTCATAATGACTGAACTCGGTGTTTCCAGAGCTGCATCGGCTCTGGTGCTGAAACCGCTTCTAAGTTGGTTCCAGCTGCTTTACTTTCCCCACAAGCCCAAGTAATTGCTCCACTCTAAACGTCTCATCCAGTGTGCTGCTGGGTTCTCTCTGATGTGTTCCAAGGTTCTGTGGAGCAGGAAGGACCACTGTGTTTATCCTGTTTCTCAGAAAACCCCGGTCTTAGCTGCAAACAGTGTTCGTGAAGGGATTTTAGTGTTATTGGGTGATGTTGAAGTCTTTATGAAGGAAGTCACAAACTATGTTACTGACTCCTGATTTAAACTCAGGGGCTAAATCAAAGAGCAACAAAATGGGAGTTGATGTGATCTTTAATCTTCTGCTTTGGATATGAGGACCTAATGCTGTATTCACGCTAAACTTTAAACGCCGTTTAAAACGCAGTCTTTTGGTCGCCCTGTTGGTGTCCATGACGCTGTTTTTAGACCCTTTCAGTCTCTCTGGACCTGCAAAACATTGGCGCTACAGAAACAAAAGCATTTTAGGACTGAGATGGTGTCGATCTAAGGAAGCATTGTTTTTTATCACTGGGAATCGCATAAAATTTGAATTTGTGACATTTTTGGAACAACTTTAATATCTGATCAGGTCACTTAGGGCGTGTGACATAACTGCAACATGAAGTGACATATTTTATTTGCCATTTGGTCCCCAACTTTTCCCAAAGCTGTCTCACATTCCTCACACTTCTGAATTGCAAAAACTACATGAAGATCTACACTTGCCAAGTATGACTCTGTGACTTCTTTGAGAGCACTCTCTCCTATGTTGCCAGGGAAACACTGAGACCAGTTTGGTGGAAAAACCTTTTACATTTTGGATAAGGACATTTTTCTTACAGGTTCTCCTGGGCTTAAGTTTCTACGTCTGATCACTCACCAAAGTCGCTGGTGCAAACAGCCATCAGGATCTCTGTGTTGTTGCAGGGTCGGCAGGCGTCTGGAGCAAAGATATAAAGCAAAAGAGTTAGTTCAGACTTTGAACGACTCAAGAAACCCATTTATATGAAAATCCTTGGAAACTAAGGATAGCCGCTCCAGATCCATGCACTGAAATGTGAGATGTGGTCCAAACCTTAAAGTCAAGAACATACAACAAAGGAGCTGTAAACACACAGCTGTTACTTTTATAGTTGGTGAAGGATGACCAAAGCAGTTTGGAGGTGTTAGACTATTTAAAGTTCAAATGAAACGTCCCAACTGAAGCAGGCATGCCTCTTCATGGGCCTAAGAAGAGGACTCCTAAGATAAACTTCATATATAATAGAAATATCAATAAAAAAGCATAAACTTGAAACAAGAAATCTGCAGAGAAAAAAGTTCTGGCACTTTTCCTAATGGTTGATCAGCCCATCCCACGCATCCTCCTCCTAAATGGGATTCCTTCATCTCCACAAACTCCCCTTCCCAAACTAATAAGTGTGTGGGAGAAAAATGTGTGTGTGTGTGTGTGGTGGTGGTGGTGGTGGTGGGGGGGGGGGGGGTACACTCCTATGGACAAGTCCCCCCACAGAGAGGCAGCTCAACAAAAGGAGGGGAGCATCTCAGCTGGGCACAGGCCCCTGTGTTACCTAGGAGACCGGAGTAATCCCAGAATACTCACGCGGCAGCCATTCAAAGGCCTCTGGACGGTGGAGAAGTCCCCACATACTGTGCTTTTGTCCACCCCCCTACTTCAAACCAGCTCTGGGGAAAGTTTGGCCACTTCCTCTCCCTCTCTACACTCTGCATGAGTCGTGGAAAGTCCAACCACAGAAATCTGGACTGAGTAATGAATCATCCTCACTGGATTTACGGGGTAAAATATAATCAGTACAACTGGAACCTTTCAGTGGGGAGAGGGGGGAGGGGGGAAACCTGTTCTCACCTTCACTGCTGATGGAGTTAGAGTCTAGAGACATGTGGGCTGTCCAGTCCCCCCTCAGCTCATAGCGGAAGGACGCAATCCTCCTGCTGATGTCCTGATGGGGCGTAGCCTGCAGGAAGAGGGCCAGCTTCTCGCCAGGCAGCCGGCTGAAGCAGCGGACCCTTGGGGGTGGGGATGACTCTATCCTGTCCCCAACCAGGAGCTCCAGGACACCGTCTCTCTCCAGGTACAGCTGGGCCCCGTGGAACTGATCTGAGGTCTTGACACAGGCGGTGATGAGTCCAGAGCTGCTGCCACCAGGTCCCACCACTGCTGAAGCCAGGCGGGGTGAGAGGGTGAGACGCAGGGCCCCTTTGGGATACAGCCAGTCCAGAGTGCCCTCAGAGCAGTGGAGAGAAATCTGCTCCACGCTGCCCTTCTGCTGGGACAATCCACTGGGAGGGGGCACAAAGTTAGAATCAGGTTTATCTCAAAATTTTCATCTTTTTGCTTAAGACCTTTGCACAAATATATAGTAATAATAATAAGAAGAAGAAGAAGAAAGAAGAAAGAAGAAGGTTTGTTAGATCAAAGGAATTTAGTCAAAGTAAACCAAGTTTTAAAATTAATTCAGAGCATAAACTGAAATAATGCGCCACCTACCGGCACATTTGTGTTCTAAATGCTCCCAAACGCAGCCATTACCAACATTTTAAATATCCTAAATAAACGAATCAATTATCTGCAAGCTTGCAGCTCCAGATCGGTTTCTTTTTTCCACGCCTTTGAACTAATCCTCCAGGCTCCGGCATGTCTGCTGCCCGGTGCGCTTCCTGCAGACATGCCAGGGACCACATCTCAGCAGAGCAATGCAAACGTTTTAATTACACCCAGTAGGCGCGCTGCATCCTAATCACCGATGATCACCGACTTCTGCACGAGCCGCCACACACACACACACACACACACACACACACACACACACACACACACACACACACACACACACACACACACACACACACACACACACACACACACACACACACACACACACACCTGTAGCATATTTAAGGGGATGCATTTTGGGTGCAAGCATCACAAAACTAATAAAACCCTAAACATTTACCTTCCTCTCCAGCTGCACTGGTCTTCGGAATAATTAGAAAAGGACGTGTCAAAAATGGCAAAAAGCAGAATCCAGGTCGCGTTAATCCAACCCCCAAAACCAAACATTTTCTGCATCTGACGACGTAAATAAAAATAAATATTCCAAGGTTCCGGTTTCCTTTCTAACATAGACCAAAGTTCCTCTATAAAACCACAGCTCTACCTCTAGCAGCCTCCATATTTTGGCATCCTCTGCAGCAGCCTCACGCGCTCTCCAGACCGCTGTGCATCAGGAGACTGGGAGCTCTGAAGTTATTCCCATCTGAGAAACTTCACGGACCAATCAGAGCCTGGCAGGAGAAACTTTAAACCGCTCACCCAGAGGAGGTGGGGGAGGGATGTCTCTGCCTCCCCCATCACACTGAGCAACTGCATGCAGGACTGTCAGTTATTGTGTTGTCTGGGTGCAAATACAACGATCGTTTTTATGTCAGTGCGCATTTTTTATAAAGCAGTTTAAGACAAAACGTATAAAAGTCTCGAGTCATTCTTTAAATTTGGCCCCAGAGCAGCCAGACGTTACCGAACTAATTAAAAGTCGCATTGATATATTATACTTCCTGAAGGTCGTATTTGTTTATTTATTTATTTTGACTAAATTTACCTCTATTTCTGTCCCTAATCATCTTCAGAGAATTGCTGATTTTTAAAGTCCTCATATAACAGACTAAACAATTTCCCCATTGATTGGTGTGTGCACAGTACACACACATACATCTCTGTATCCTTGTGTAAACCCTCCATTGACTTCCATTCATTTTTGGTGACTCCACCCATACCCTAACTCTAACCATAACCAATGCTGTTTTGTTCCTAATCCTAATCTAAACCAAAAGTTAATTCCCACCATATCTCTAAAACCATGTATTTTGTCACTAAGTGGACCAGCCAAATTAGGCCAGCCACAATGCTTTATGGGAAGCAAAGGGCCTCAATTTAAATAACCCCACCCCCTGACAATTCTAACTGAGCCAATCAGCGCTGAGCAGCATATATAACACACATGACTTTTGGTTTCTCATAAACAACGAAGATGACGTCTGAAGTGGAGTGGGCTGCAACCCTTTCCTCTGTTCTAAATTACTTGGATGTGTCTTTAAAACCACAAGAAGAAGAAGTGTTAAAAGATGTTTGCACCATCGTCAGACGCCATCTTTGACTACAGCTAAAATAAACTGCAGCGTCGTGCAATACTGTTGTCATTTCTGCCTTTTTTCTGAAGCTATCTTTGAGCTGGCTAGTCCCGCCCCTGATGGTGTCCTCTAACTCTGAGTATCCAGACTCGTCTTCTGTGTAGAATAGACAGAGGGCAAATCTGGCAGGCTAGGCTACAGTTAAATGTCCCCACAACGTGGTAATGTCCACACTACAGGTTAAAAGTTAAAATTTGTCTACTTAAAGACAAGTAAATGCGTGCACGTATGCATGTGTGAGTATGTGCGTGCATGTGTGTATGTGTGTGTGTGTGTGTGGTGTTTAGGGAGCAAACCGCACATTTTAAAGTGATATTCCACTCCTAAGTGAAATTTAGTCTGTTGCCATACTCCTTAGAGTTAGATAAGTGAGAGAAAGCATTTTGTGACCAGGTCAGTCATTCTCCTAATCTGGCAGAGTTCTGCTTGCTTTAGCTTAGCATAAACAATGTAAGTGAATGGTAACAGCTAGCATTTAAATCATTCAAAGTCAAAAAGACACAGACTTCTGTAAACACAAATGCGTGACCACTATGTTTATACCTGAAACAGTTTTTTGAAGGAACAGCACAGGACATGGCACTAAAAATGTCTGAATACACAACAACTGAAGTAGACACACTTTGGGGCCACGGCGTGCCTTGCAGATGAGGCTTACAGCGGGGCTTTGTCGTAATGCAGTCCCAAGTCTAAATATGATTATTGAGGTCACTCAAAAAATTAAGATCATTATTGAGTAATGTTATGACTTTTTCACACTAAATGCTAGCTGTTACCATTCACTTACATTGTTTATGCCAAGCTAAAGCTAACAAAACAAATAGGCTGGTTATAAAATACTTTTCCCCACTTATCTAACTCTGGGGCATATGGCAACAGACTAAATTTCACTTGGGATGTATACCTTTAGGATGCAATAAAAGAAGAAAATAAATGTGAATATTTACATATAGAATTGAACGTGATTATTAGGTCTATCCACATTATTCTAATATTAATCACTATAACAACATTTTTTCAAAATAAAAGCACAATGCAGAGCACTGTGTGGAATGTTTATAAAATTGACAAGTAAGTTAGGGAGTTTGTGTTTGATTGATTGTTTCTTTGTTGTAAAGATCATGCTTTTGAAGGAATGATTAACACAAGTGTGGGTGGTAGTGATGGGATTCATTGCCGTTCATTAGTTGGTCTTTACCTCAGAGAGCCATTCAAAAAACTAGCTCCTTTGAACGAAATATAGCCGTGAGAGCAAGGAGAGCTATGTGTTCCTTCAAATGTCAAAAGATTTGATTTGTTCATGAACGTCACATTGTCAGGCTGATCAGACTGGAT